CAACGCGCACACCATCAAGTACTGCCCGCTCTCCAAAGTGCCGCCGCCGCCCGCCGCCCGTCCGCCGCCACGCAGCGCCAGGGACGGCCTGCCCGGCAAGAAGGTGCGCTGAGGGCCCGGGCTCGGGTCTGCTGCTGCCACTAGGGTCACCGCCTGCCCACTCTCGTTTTTGGTCTGCGCACCATCTCTCCCTTGCTGCTGGGGAGCGTGGAGCTCAGCAGTTGGCGCTACTTGGGAATGTCGTCTTGGTTTGTTTTCAAAGGAAGCCGGCGGTACGGAGTACTTTCTTGTAGAAGAGCGTTGAGACTAGATGCTAAAATCTTGATTTGTTTATCTCTAGTTTGTGCACATCCAGACGGTGACGGATGGGTATTCCAGTAACTGAAATATGGCAATTTAAAGGCGCGCTGTTTATTTACTCTGTACGTGGACCTATTTTAGACGCGCATCAGTGTGAAATGGTCTCAATCTGATCTTGGATGTTTAATTTTATGAATGGAGGCACTTTACTAGGTCTAGAATATTTTTTTAAAAGCCTCTTAACTGAACTTAAAACTGGCGATTTTATGGAATGTCAGCAAAATGACTATTTTATTGTTTGGAACAAGTAATGTTTCTGTTGTCCTTAACCAGTTATTCTAATCCCAGGTGAAACAAGCCCCTGCCTGGTAGCATCATTAAGTGAAGGCTTAGTAAACTTTTCAGTATTCGTTTGGGTGGGTGTTCCCTCCTTGTGGCTTGTTTCTGTCCTAACTGGAGGTGTAAACATGCACAATCTGTAGCAGGTAGAATACAGTTCCTTAGCCTTTTATGTACCAGATCTTTTATTACTGAATGACAACTAGCATTTTCCACCTTTAAAATTTTTGCCAAGTTATAATCATATTGTGTATACACTTGGAAATGGTGCTGTTTAAAAACCGTGTGTGTTTATACAGTAACAGTATATGAATTCATTAATCTCGCCTTTAACTCTGGTACTTTTGTCTATGTATTCCTCCCTCCCCTAATTTCTAGTTCTTCAAAAACATTTGTGATATAAGACCAAAAAGGAGCAGTATTAATTCACTCTGAACTGCTCAATTTCAGCATTCCTAAATAGTGGAAAGCTCATTCCAGCTGTTGCCTCTCCAATTAAATTTAAGATGGGGTACTTTTGAGCTCTGGAAGGTTAATGTAATGCTATGAAGGTTCCACTCTGGGCTATGTCGGCTTTAAACATCACAGGCAGCTCTCAAATCAGTATAAGCACTGATTAAAGGAACTAGTGGGAGTGGGGGTGTTGGGGTGGGGTGTGCAGAGACAAGCCACACAGCCTGTCTCATGTTCCCATTCTCACTGGAAGATGACCCTTTTTCTGGAACACCACCAGTTTTCCACAAATGAGATTATACCCATCCCCAGGATTAAGTTTAGCTCAGTGGTACACGAGGTCCTGGGTTCAATCCCCAGTACTTCTATTTAAATAAACAAATAAACCTAATTAACTCCCCTACTAAAAAAAACAAACTGACTCCTACTTCAGCCTCCCACCCTCATTTTCAGACCCACTATGCATAGTGAATAATACCACACTGTGTATCTTACTATCAGGACAGATACGTAAGACAAAACTGGAAATGAGTTAAGATGAAGTCATCTGAAATGTACAAAATCACTATCTGAAAATACCAACAAGAGATTTAGTTTAAGTATATGGAGATGACAGTTCACCTAGGCTATTAAAAATCAGACTGCTTTCATATTAAACCACTTCCTCCACAACAAATGTGCTTGATTTGAACATTCCTCTCAAAATGTAAAAGGCTGCCATAAATAACACTGGGATAGCTATGAGCCTTTTTGGTCAAAGGAAGGTGCACCAGAACAAAGGAAAGGAAGGCAGACAAACCATTTCTCGGCCAGGAAAAAATAATCCACTCCTGCTACTAGCCCCAAAGCAGAGAACTTCAGAATTGCCAAGCCTGAACTCAAGAGATTTAATAAAACCGTGTAATTAACTTACTCTCTTCAGTTTTGCTAGAAACATACCAGTTTAAATTAGTTTTGCTTTTTGAGGTCAACATGAATTCCTGTACCTCTTTCCCACTGCTCTAGTCTACCTTCTCAAGTTACTACTGATGGGTGCATTCTCCTGACCAGCACTAGGCAGGCAGCTTGCTTTGTAGTTTTAAAAGAGCCAAGTGAGGGGGTGGGTGTAGCTCAGTGGTAGAGTGCATGCTTGGCATGCATGAGGTCCTAGGTTCAGTCCCCAGTACCGCTGCTAAAAAGAAGTAAACCTACCTACCCCCTTGCAATAATGAAAGAGCCAAATTACAGGTTTCCAGGTCTCAGGCACATGGCTTTATTATTTTCCAAGAATCCCTTGGTGACCCAATGTGCCTAAGGCAAATCTGATACCACTATTTTATCAGAACTGGGACCGTGTTAAACTTAGGTCTGTAAGTCAGGAGAGTAGGGGAAAGGTATCTAGAATACTCTCACAACCAGCGAGGCAACCATTATGTCCATCTACATAAGCACCACCCAGTACCAGCTCCCCTCCCCCCTCAAGTTTGCTAATTTCAAGAGTTAAAACATGAACAGAGTCTCCATAGTTTTCTAAAGCTTTCTTGTAAGAGGTACACTAACCACATTCTAATAAATGTAAAAGCAACGCTCAATCTGAAACGTATTTTAAATGCTTGCAAAGCTAAATTTAAGGTAAAAGAAACCCAACTTTTTGAAGTTTAAAAAATACACAAAATAGTGTGACAAAACTGTCTTATTTTCATAAGAACATACTACATGTCTGGGGCAAGGGGAGAGAAAGAAAGATGTGTAGAATCTTCAAAAGAGCTTTACCAACTGTGCAGGCAGACTGCCTGTCCTTTTGTTAGACACTTCCACAGGCTTTTCCATTTCCCTATGAAGTCCTTTGGAAAACTGCAAAATTATTTGATTACAACAACTTTTGGCATAGATATAAGCCAAAACCATGTATTTCAAAATTATATCACAAATACATGTGTATTTCAAAGGAAAGTTTCAGTGTTAGTCCTAATTTTCTAGTTTGTTCTTAGCTGCAACATGAACATTCCTTCTGTTAATGTCCTACAGATTTCAGTTAAACTTATGAAATTATAAGTCAGTCTACAGCCAAATCATCCTACATATAGAGATCCCAAGCTCCTCCTAGTAGCCACTATGAACAACTAATAGGATGTGGAGTCTTTTGGGGGCTGCTGTCTCCATCCTCAGATCCATCCATGTTGATAGCAATGACATCCCCATTTGAAACTGCAGAAGCCACTGGGAACATGGAAGACATCACTGAGTAGGTTGGTGGTTCTGATTTCCTTTGACACCTGTGAATAAACACTGGGGGCAGAGTAAGGTTGTGATGCCTTGAAAGTGGAAACCTAAGAGCAGGATCACAAAGTAGAATCAGACTCTTTTGTCCTTATCCTGTGCTCTGATTCCAACACCCAGGACAAAGAACTTGGAGAACAGCGTGTCTGGGAAAGGGGCTGGGCAGGAAGCGTGTTTGCAGACGAGCCTGGAGACCTAACCATCAGACATGCATTTGTAACTCATCCAAACAAATCAGTGAGGACGAATTGCCTGTTGGGGGCCTATCTGTGATGTCACGGGTACAGTCCTCCTCTAGTAACTTATGACTCAGAATGGGACAGCCCCCAAGTTCTTTCACTTGTTGTAAACGAAGTCCTCTTCTCAAAAAAAGATCTTTTAAGACTTTAGCTTGCAGTCCAGATATCAAGAAAAAAATGGTTTAAAAAGTGATTTCCATTATTGTTAACATTCAACAGGAAAGGCTGCATCTGATTATTTAAGTAAAACATCATCCATACTCCCTCTTCTGGCCTTACAGCTGTACCAACAGGAATTCTCACCACTACTCAGTATCAGAAAGAATATTAAGTGCCTACAGCCCCTATAAATTTACAACTAACATTCTCTGAAATTAGTTATGATTTATCTCACTTCAGAGCGAAACCCAAGATGTACACCACACACACGCCACACTCACAGAGAGGACAGCAGTACAAGCAAACACCGGGGCTCCTCAACTAACAAAGGACATTTTAGTGGAAACATCCTAGCCACATTTGCTTTCTGTTATATTTAGGCTATTTTCTCTAAGACATTTAATAGCACTGGTAAAAACTCAAGTGAAGTTAACTTCAACTGAATATGCAAACTCAGTATTATAAACAAAACACTTTGACTAACCACAAATCAACACTAAAACAAATTCTGTAAGTATTTTATTTATCGTTGAAGAAAAAACACAGCAGCAAGTTCTGTGTTGGCTTCAATAAGACCGAATAGTTAATCTTTAACATGGCTACTACACTCCAAAATTGAAGTCAACACAGTCATTACTACAAATTACTTGTTGAAAGAACCTATCCTGAAGAGAAAGGAAATCAGGAAAAAGAATTTAAACAATTCTTCCAAACCACCACATTTATAAATATTGTCATATTTAAAATGCTTGAAGGCATGAATTCTCCATAAATGGAAAAGCAGTTTGCTATTGGCAAAAGAAAAACTCAGCAATAGTTTACTAAATGCTTTAAAATTTCAAAGCTGTATCTGTTTTAGATTCACACTTGAGCAGTATTCTTGTCATCACAACAATGACTGCACATTGCTTTCTACTCACCCTCTCGAGTAAAACCTGCAGAAAATCCCACTGTATCCAATGTGTGTAATGTTTACTGCACTTATAGTAAATCTAAAAACTTTCTAAATTTAGTAAATAGTAAATACCTCAAAATACCTAGAGGCATGTCTCAACTGCTAATGGTATGAAAATTGTTTCAGCTTCCTGCTTCAATCTTCAAATATCTTCAAATACATTTTCTATAACAGAACCATACTTCATTCCAAATTAATATCAGATATTTCAAAATCAAAAGAAAAAAGATCAGTTCCATACCAAGATACAGGTGTTACTCAATACCTGAAGAATTCACATTTTAAATTTATTTTTTACTTTTTCTTTTTTGTAAACAAATGATTGATGACATAATGCCAAAACCTTAAATTCCGAAACATTGCATGGTTTTCGAACCTTCCGTGGATACGGTGCATGATCGATCTATTATATAGGATTAATACAAGTTCATGCTTTTTGTGTTATGGTGAGACAACAGTAAAGAATCCAATTTAGATTGGTTGAAGCACAAGTATAATCCTTGAATGTGATCAAACCTATGTAAGACATGAGTTTGAATCCACTGTCTTGAGACTTAACGTCGTACTGTGGTCCACCCGTCTTCATCAGTCTCATTTTTAGTACGACGAAGAGATTCCCTGTCTTTCTCAGCTCTCCATGAGGGCTTCTCTTTTTCACCTTCTCTTTCTCGGTCTCGATCTCTTTCTCGATCTCTTGAAAGAGCTGGAGGAGGAACACGACGAGGGGCATCCCGCTCTTCTGTCCGGTCATCTTTCCTGTCATCAGCACGTCTCCAAGAACTTACTAAAAAGTTTAATTAAAACAAGAGAGAATAAACTTGTACCACATTTTATTAGTTCACACTAAATAGAGCTTAAGTAAAACAAATGCCTCAAATTAC